AACACTTTTGCTAGATCATCATGAGTTCGTAAGTAAGAAATGATATGAACCCAAAAATAAGAATTTGATTGATTAATCACATTATGCAGTGTTTTGCGGTCTTCAGCCTGAAAAAGTTGTTAGTTTACTGTCGAGTAAACGCGCGAGCTGCGGGAGCTCTGCCAGTGTGTGTGGTTAGAAGCTCAATTTTCGTGTGCACTGTATGAAAATCGTCCATATCCAGTGAGCACTACATGCTAGTAGCCCTTTTCCTGCAAGCAAAACGATCGACGTGGGTTTCTAACATGGGTCCACAACGTGGAAAATTCAAAATTCACTATCTTTGGTCCCATGATAAAGACCATATTCTTTTTAGTTCGTGGAGAAAAGAAGTGAAAAGTAGATTTTGCCTCACAGAATAATATATCTTCAAAAAGGTGGAGTGTACACGATGATGGTCGATGGACAGAAACCTCTGTCGTCGAACGATGTCCTCAATAGATTGAGCTACGAACGTCTGCGTCGAGCTGTCTCAAGAGTGTCTAGAGTTTAAGAATCTGAGAAGCAACCTGTTCGATACTCACGTGCAAAATAAAGATTTTCGACTCGAGAATTAAAGAAACCACAAATTCTACATGAGAAGACCACTATTTGGGATATGTCTTGGTCGTTCGGTACTCTTCATACGTGAGGAAGAAGTTGTAATTGTTGTCACCTGCTAGTAGTTTCTATTTCATATTTAGAAAAAAAAAATTCATGGAGAAAAAAAGCGCAAGTACTGGATGTATGATTCAATGCGCCCCCAACTTAGAAATTCTTCACTTCTGATTCCATCAGTCATATTATATAGTGTTTATGGTCTTCAATCTTAAGAGTAGTCTCTGTTACCCCACCAAAACCAAATTAACAAAGCCGCTGCAACTTGAATTAGAAGTTTCTATTCCGAAAAACAGACAATTTTGGGCGCAGATTCAATCCATGCACTCTTGAGTCTTAAGATAAGGAATTAGGATAATAATTGATACGTCTTTTAATTTAAAATACTTGTTAATATCTACTGGTTTAACTATTAAATTTTATAAGAGAAATTATAAACAATTTTGGACACAGATTCAATCCATGCACTCTTGAGTCTTGTGATAAGGAATTAGGATAATAATTAGTACATCTTTTGATTTAATATACTTGTCAATACCTATTGGTTTAACTATTAAACTTTATAAGTGAAAATTTTGTTGCTTTGAATTCAAGTTTAAAAATAATAATTTTTAATAAGTGTATTGTTAAATATGCTATGAAATGTATTGAATAAAAAATTTTACCAGTTATTGTTCTAAGGAATTATTACCAACAGCAAGTTGTCCCAAACAGAATATGGGTGAGGCTCATATTGCTTGTTCTAATCTTCTAATTCAAGTAGAATTGGGTTAGATAATCAAATCTCTATTAGAATAAAAGATCTAATCATATAAATACCAACACTAAAGAATTGTAAAGGGGTAATTCCATTATATTTAGTTATTGACAATATGAAATTATTTTTTCTGTTTGCGAAAGGTCCTTAGTGTAACTGGAATACTACGTCAATTGTATCTCAATCCACTGGTAACTTCACAATGCATCATATATTAAGACACACACAAAGTTAATAAGATCTAAAATTGATTGTGAATATTAGAGTTTTGACATTTTTTTTTTAAATGGACTAAAATTATATAAAATAAATGAAAAGTTTAAAGATAAAGATAAAAAAAATAAAGATTATTAACTTTATTCACAAATTTTCAAAAGTTTATAGAGGTTGGGAACCAGGGCCCCTAGCTCAACTTGTGCCGACCTTAAATTGGTTAAGAATTCAATTCGAGAAACCAATTGATTATTGAAACAAAGTTGAAGGGTTAGATTCTAGCCCAGTAAGCATCTCTTTTGGGACTAACCAAGAGGGCAAGACTAAAAAACATACAAAAATCGTAACTTGATTCAAGCTAGACAGTTTGACACCCTTGTCTCTATACTTGAAGAGGTGAGGGACTTTGTGGAAAAAACAGATGTCTGTAATGTGAGGTTTTAACCATTGGCCAAAAGGTTTGGTCACAATAACAGAAAGGTTTACTTGCAAAAGAAAAAGAACATAAATAAGAGTGTTTAATTTTGCTGTTTGAATTTCATTAAATTATTAAACAAGAAGTATTGAATGGGGAGGACAACTCCCAATATCCAAGGCCCAATCTCATCTAATATTAAAGGTTTTCCCCTCTCATCTAATGGTTTAAAATGTTTTTTTTTTTTTTTAACTTTTATCTTAAAAGTACAAGTTAAGAGTGTATTAATTATACTTTTTTTTACAATTAATTTGCATAAAAATTGAAGTTAATTTTAAATTTATCAACTATATAATTAAAATCATCCACGTGGAATTAGTATTAAAAATAATGTCTACTTTCTACATTTCTCTACAAAAACTTATTGCAAAAAGGTGCAATTAATGCAGTCCTAGGGTTTAAGTTAGAAAAATCTTAGTTTAAATTGTATAGTCTAGTGTGATTTAGATTATATATCACTTTTTGTCTTTCTGTATATATAAAGTTTATTAGCCAGACTAGCAAAAAATTAAGTGAAAAAACATTTTAAAATAACATCCATTTTAATAAAATATCACAAAAAAAAAAAAAAAAAACTAAAACAATATTTGTTTTCTCAAAAATCCTTAAGTGCTTTTGTGCACATGTGGCAGACTTGAGTTGTGGGAGTGCCACAAGCTTTGTTGTAAATCAAGAAAGTAGGATTTTCCCAACAACCCTTTTCAAAAGGGGGAGATGCTTTCTTACAAAATGAGTTACTCGTTTGCCTTGGATAGCTCTAAGAACATTAAAACACCACTGTAAATTTAAAGCTTAAAGATCCAAAATAAAATCAATGAAACATAAATTTACAAACTATTGGCAGATTTACCTAAATCATTATAGAACTAGAAAAGTAAATGAGCTTGAATCTAGAGTAAAACTATGTAATCATGATTTTTAGGCAAAAAAGATTGAAATTATGATAAACATGAATGAGAGGTGTGAAAGCCATATAAGTTGACATTTAAGGAAATGAAACTTATCTTAAAATCACTAAATAAATAAAGAGATTGTTGTAGAAGTTAGAATTAACCTAAATCTAACTGCATGTTGTGCTAAAACTAAAATATAAGAGTTGTGTGAGTAATAATTGTTTCACTAGAAAGTTGAATTTGATGAGTTGTGTGTCGGATTGGTCATCTATTACTTGTTTTAAATTTTTCTTTTTTCATGTCTCTAGGTAGATGGTAACCACTCACTCTTATATGTGCAAATTATGACAGACTTCATGGGTTAGTTAGACAACTCAACTGCAAATCTAGTCAAAATCCTCTCCAAAACTTGTCACTTGTCTACCACTTCACCCACTTGCTAAAGTTGGCCTGCAACTTCTCTTCAAATTTAGCCATGATCTCCACTAATGTTAAATAACACTAGGTAAATAGGAGATAATTGCCAAAAATACCAAATTTGGTCAAACACGTGGCAACCATTAGCCAAATTTGGTTTGAGGGGGCTTTATCTTAGTTATCATTTCAAACAATGTCATATGAGGCATCATAAGATAAAGGTTAAATATCCTTTTTGGTCCCTCTACTATTGAAAAAAGCATATTTTTGGTCCCTTTACTATTGAAAAAGGCCTATTTTTGGTCCTTATATTGAAAAAAATCCTCTTTTTTGTTTTTAAAATTTAAAATCCAGTCCCTTTTTGATCCCTCCGTTAAACTTTTGCTGATGTGTTACGTTAATTAATGGAATCACTTGATTATTTTTTATATAAATAATATTATAAATGATGTGAAACTTACATAAGCATTTTATCTGAATATTTTAGGTCACATTTTATGCCACAGGTACAAATTAAAAATTTACATCTTAATTCATAATTAAAAGAATTTAAACAAAATTAACTTTAATTTCTTCATCTTCTTCTTTCTCCTCCTCCTTATCCTCCTCCTTATCCTCCTCCTTATCCTCAGCATCCTCTTCAATTATTCATCATTTGGGCGATTGCTAGGTTCCTCGTGGAACCCAGATTTGGTTGCAAACCTCTTTTTTTTTTCCTTTTTTTTTTTTTTATAGTTTGAATGTATCTATCTTCCATAAAGAAGTTGAATGAAACCAAAATTTCATGTTCAAATCATGTTTAATATTTGGGTTTGATATCTAGGTTTGAAATTGCAGGTGATAGGTTCATGTTGTTGTGTTTATGAAGTTCATAATTTGGTTCATCCATGGCTGAGGTTATTAGAAAGAAAAAGTTGAAAATATGAAATTAGGGAAAGAGTCAAGAGAAGGATCCGTTTTGCAAAGGAGAAATTAGGATTTATAGTATTGTTATATTACTTTAATTAGTAATTAATTTCAATTTTTAGCAATGAAAATATTCCTTTGAATTCTCAATTATATTTTGACCAATTTCACATATAAAGAGTTGATTATGAATGAAAAACAAGAATTTTGAAAGAAAGATGATATCTGGAGAGGAAACTAAGACCATCGATTAAGGTTTTTTTTTCTACATAGGGAGTGACATGGAAAGTTGTTATTAAGTCCACATAAGCGATTTTACACAATAGAATATCCATGTTAGATGTTCTTGTTATGATAACATGCCATGTGAGCAAAAATTAACAGAGGGACCAAAAAGGGTTGGATTTTAAACTTTAGGGATTAAAAATGAGATTTTTTTAATACAAGGACCAAAAAAGAACTTTTTTCAATAGTAGAGGGATCAAAAAGGATATTTAACCTAAGATAAATTTACAATTTATGATGTAAATAGTACTATTCTTGCCTTAAAAATATGTTATTTTAGTTTTTTTAAATGAGAGTTTATTAAAATGATGTTATTTTACAAGTGTGATTGATAAACATTTTTTTTCATAAAATGAGTTTTATATTTTTTAGTCCTCAATTTAAGCACTAAAATTACTAAGAGTATATTTGATTTGAGGGGCAAAGAAGGAAAAGGAGCATATGAAAATGAAAGAATGTAGCTATTATCCTAAAATCTTGTTAGTAACACCTTATAGTAGAAATTAGAATGAAAGTCTGTCACTTACTCTTACAAAAAAAGTAATAAAATGATTCACCGGTTACCCTCTTCTTCTATTCAAATTTTCCTTGTAAAAAAAACTGTTGGAAGAATGTTGTTTGAAATGAATTGTGCTTCGAATCACACAATTGGCAAAAATAAGGGATCAATTCTTGTACAATGAGCTCAAGTTTACCTTGGAAGCATGTCAAAGATTTTGATTATAGTAAACATATATTAAGACAAACTAAATTAGAAGTACCAGAGAAGAACTACACTCAAAGATAAGTGTTGGAAATTAATAAAGGTGTAGTAACTGTAGCTAACTGGAAATTTAAATTGTTGACATAAAAATAAAGAACTGTGATCGTGAACTAGCTGAAAGCTTAAAGTGCAATGAAATGTCAGCTTGGCAAAATGTAAATCTCGATATATTATTATGGACTAAAGCAGCTAATTGCTGTAGAATGTTTGGAAACATAAAACAAAAATATGTAAACCGGTAGAAATCTAGAAAGTGCACTAAGTTAAAATCCAATCAATTTGTAAATGGCAATGACACTGTAATAAAAAGGAAATTGTAGACATGTTTGAATTAAAAGTGAACAATTAAGAATTAGAATGTAGAAGATGCTGTGGAGGTTAGTCTTGACAAAAATTATATCAACAATGCAAAGGAATACGTTGGGGAATGTTGTTTTACTTTTACTAGACTACAAATCTAAAGAAAATTTGTTGAAAATAATTTTGAACTAGAAGAAAATTAGGTAGATTAGATTAAGCTAAGACTTATTTTTGTAAAGTGTATGACATCAAAAAGTAAAGTGATTTGTTGAAAAGGGACAGGCCTAGAAACTGAAAATTGTATGGAAAATTTGTATTTATAAACGTCTAAACTGAACTTATTTTGCCAAAAATCTTGACCTTGATTTTTTCCACCTTCCATGGTTGAACAGGAACTAAGCAACTCCAAAAGTAACTTTGTTGCTTGATAATTTCATTGCCAAAAACAAAATTTCAGTAGTCAGAAAACTTAGGATTATGTTTGGGGTGGTAATATAAGGATGATTTATTTGTGTAATTTTTTATACAACTTTTGCATATTATTAAATGAATGGATGTACTTAATATCATAAATTTTAAATGAATAAAAAAAGTCAATAATTTAAATAACACATAAGATTGTATAAAAAAACAGTATAAAAAGATTATCTTTAAATCTGTTGGAACTGCCTGGATTGCCCTTGATTTTCTCTACTGGCCAAAGCGTCGTCTGTTTGCTTTTGATCCCCAAAATCTGTTGATCTAAAGCGCACTTAAGAAGGAGGAAACTAATTGAATTGGATTGAAATACTACCTCATATCTGTGAACTCCCAAAATATGGTCCAAACAAAACCCATGAAATATCTTCGGGCCTTGTCTCCTTATAGGCTCAATTCGTCTTCCTTGTTTTAGGCGTAACATGCATCGAATTTATTTAAGCCTAACTTCCAAAGAAATGGACTTGAACTCCACGGCCCAATTAATCGAACCCAAAAAAAATACCAAAACTTCACCCATCAGAATCATCAGCCATAAGCACGTGTGATAACTAAGGATGAGTAATTGAGTATTATACCTCAATGGTAGAAAAAAAGAGTAAGTAATAAATATAAAAATAATATCATTATAAATATTAAATTAAGTAATAAATATAAGAATTTAAAATTATTTATCCAATCTGTTTAATTAATTTATTTAACTTATCTATTATTTATATATTTATAATTAAAATTTTACATGTACTTGTTATATTTAATGTCTATATAATAATAATTTTTAAAAATAAAAACAATAAACTATAAAAAGTAAAAATAAGAGTTAAATAAAATCTAAAACCCAAATAAATTACACATAGTAATAACAATTCATATAAATATTAAACCCTAAACCAAACACACCTAATAATAATATTTTATATTAAACATTTTTTGTAAACTAAACACATAAGTATATACTCATAACTTACTTATTAGTTATTAAGTTAAATACCAAGTATAGATTTTTAAATACTTAAATAAGTGGCAAGTCTAAAAAAATATATTTAAAAATTTTTAAATCAAATACCAAATAAAACTCGTACCCAATTTATAACAAAAATGCTCAACCCTACTGCTAATACCAAAAATATTCTCAAAACAAGTATTAATGCATCATATCACGGTTAATTATTTTTTTAATTAATTCAGAAAAACTCATAACCACTCAATCTCTGTCATTGACACGTGCCATCTTCGTAAAATGTATTAAGTAATTATTATGTAAACAGTGATATTTTTCCATTTCCTCCTTATTTTCTCGTTTGAATAACAAAATATGTCAAAAGCAAAAAAATAAAGAATTTCCTTTCTCTCTCGCACTAAAATTATTATTAATACTTGTCTACATTTTTTAGTAATTTTAATTTAATTTTTTAATTTTTTAAACATAAATTTTAAATAAAAATTTAACATATTTATAACAATTAAAATTTTTTTTATAAAATAAAAATACTAAACAAAAGTTACTTATAAGAAAAAAATTTTAATTATTATTATTAAATTTTTATCTAAAATTTATATATAAAAAATAAAAAATTAAATTAAAACTAATATAAATAAATAAAAATAATAAAAAATAAATATAAGAGAGAGTTTAGTATTTTAAATTTTAATATTTTCATATTCAAGAAAGACCTTCAAATTCACTAACTAACTATTTAAAAATTAAAAACTTTCTCAATCAAACGTGCATAATCCCTTTCCTTCCCTTCATAGTTTAAGCCACTTAGCCTTGTCCAATTAAAAGAATGAAAAAGTAATTTCGTAGTCATGAAAAAAGAAAAACACTTGTATTTTAAATTAAATCCACTAAAAAGCAAAACCCAAGATAAACCTTCCTAGCTTACTCGGTTAAAATATCTATTTAGCGCTTAATCTTAATAAATTTAAAATTTTTAGTTTTTGCACTTACATTATAAAGTTTTTAATCCTTAAATTTAAATGTTTAAAAATTTTAACTCATAAACTAAAAGAATTCATTAACTCTCTATTAAAATGAGAATAAAATATTTATAAACTTAGTTTTTATTATACCTATGATTTTGATGATTACAAAACACATTTGAGTGACTAATTGGTTTATTTAAGTGTATAGTTAAGTTGTTAAAAGATTGCAAGTAAACTTGGACTGCACTTAAAAATGGACCAGAAAGGCTTGAATATCTGCAGAGAGCTAGTTCTTGAGAACTATAGTTGGCTCTGGTGAAATGGAAGTGCAGAGAGTCGGCTCTAGAAGCTGCAGCTGGCTCTATAGGCAAAAATTTGAAGCTGTTGTTTGGCACGCGCGGAGAAAAGACAGAAAGCCGGCTCCAACTTTGCAGCTGGCTGTGAGGGTGCATTTAATGCACAACGGTTGAGTTATTTGAAGATTATTTAATGTGTTTAAAGTTAGAATCCCTAAGCCGGCTTTAGGCTTTGCAGCTGGCTGTGAAAGAAAACAGAATGTGTAGGAATCCCGCAAAGCCGGTTGCAGAAATGGTGAGTCAGCTGTGCAAAGCCCGCTTTAGGAAGCTAAGTCGGTTCTCCTGACAATCTTGTAACTCGAGCTTTGTGTCCTGCAGAGCATTAAATGACCCCCAACGGCTAGTAACGGCTATTTTCAACTATGGGGTTATAAATATGGTTGGTAGAAGATTTAAAGAAGTTTAGAGAGCATTGTATTGCATATCTTTACCTACCAACTTGTGCTTTAACTTGAGATATTGATCTTTGAGAGATCTTTATTTGTAATCCTCTTCTTGTTCTATTTGTGAGTAAACTTGGGGGTGTGACTATTCCTTCAAAAGTGATTTGTAGAGAGGATTGTTTGGGTTTGTCTTGTAAAGGGGTGAGATTTGAGAGAAACACCCTTATTCTTGTAAAAGGATTGAGTGGCTCCTTTAAGGCTTTGTGTCCTACAGAGCATTAAATGACCCCCAACGGCTAGTAACGGCTATTTTCGACTATGGGGTTATAAATATGGTTAGTAGAAGATCTAAAGAAGTTTAGAGAGCATTGTATTGAATATCTTTACCTACCAACTTGTGCTTTAACTTGAGATTTTGATCTTTGGGAGATCTTTATTTGTAATCCTCTTCTTGTTCTATTTGTGAGTAATCTTGGGGGTGTGACTATTCCTTCAAAAGTGATTTGTAGAGAGGATTGTTTGGATTTGTCTTGTAAAGGGGTGAGATTTGAGAGAAACACCCTTATTCTTGTAAAAGGATTGAGTGGCTCCTTTAAGTTACCCTTGTTGTTGTTAGTGGAGAGTATGGAGGAAATCCTTGGTGAGTGAAGTCAAGGTAGAGAACTAGATTTCAAGTGGTTAGACCAAACCTCTATAAATTATTGAGCAAGCTCTTCTTCTCTATTCTCTTTAATTTTGGTTTTGTGGTTTTAAAGAGGAGAGAATTTTTAAAACTTCAATTCACCTCCCTTGGAGTACATTGAATCAACAGTTTTCAAAAATTAAAAAGTAATAATTTAGTTCTAATAATTTAAAATTTGAGAAAATTAATAAACTAAAAAGAATTAATAAATGACTTTCTCATATATCCTAGAACAATAATAGATTTCTACAATCAAATTTAATGACTAATTTAATTTGAAAAAAAGAATTTTGACTAAAATTAAAGAAAATGTCTTAATTAAGATAAGATAGAAAATCCAAAACACTAAAAAAATAAAATTAAGAATTTTTTTTTTTACTTTTAGTTAGATTTTTTTCTTTAAATTGAATTAATCATTTACTTTGATTATAGATATTTAATATTATTTTTGTATATATAGTAAAATTATCAACTAATTATTTTTAATTTTTTAATTTAAAAATTTTTTAAACTAAATTATTACATTTTTAATCTTTAAAACTAATTGTATAAATATTTTATTTTTGCTTTAATAGAGGGGAAATGAACTCCATTAATTTAGGGCTAAAATCTTCAAACTTTTATGTTCAGGGACTAGAAGTTTAGTAGTGTAAGATGAGGGATTAAAAACTTTAAACTTATTAAGGTTAGCGGCTAAATCATAATTTAGCCAGTTACTCTTACGAGAATCTGAATATGGTGCTATCGTCTTCTAAACTTCATCTTGCTCCTGCGAAACCCTTCATTTTTCCGTCTAAACGGCACCATTTTCTATCCTTTAAAGCAACATATATTAGTCTCTGCCAAAGCTGCTTCTTCCATCTTCACCTTCACGACCACAATAGAAGATGAACGAGAACAAGAACAAGAGATAGACGCAGTCAACATTGCTGAGGATGTGATCCAGGTCTTTTTTTTTTTTTTTTGTGTTTTTTTGCCTCTGTAATTCAAGGAAATCGCACGCTTTTCCCTTCTGAATTTCGAATTGCATATCGTTATACGAATAAATTTCTCAAATTTTGACGCTTTATAGCTAAGATTAAAATGGGTTTGGTGATTTTTCTGGTGTTCATAATTGCTGCATTTCATCGTGACTTTCCTATTTTTAATGTTGAAATGGCAAAAGAGCTATGAAAAGGATATTGTTAGGATTTTTTGGGTTCCTAATGTGGTTTTTATGTTTAAATACTAGAACTTGAATTAGGATCGACTAACATAAATTATCAGCTATTGATTTTCAAATCTCACCGTTGAAATGATGATGCTATATTTAGTATCTGAAACAGTTGGATTTAGAAAGAATCCTCTTAATTGCATTTTGGTTAAGTTGTTCTGACAGATTCAGAAAAAGGTCTAAAAGGGGCTATTGATAAAGCTGAAGAAATTGGCGTCAGTATACCAAAACCAAATGCTTACAGTTTGATAACGTTACCCAGCTAGTGTGAAGGTATTTAATCTTTTATCATGTGATAGACCTTTTTAATAGTGTTGATTACCTCTAAATATGTTACCTTTCGGATATTTTGTAATTATATTATTCCAGGAACTGCAGATACACTTTGAAACTACGGGACCAGAAATGTGGGGGGACTCTTTGGATGGTGTCGACCTGTTTGTTGCTGCAATCGGAACTGGTTGTATTGTTACAGGAACTAGGCATTACTTTAAAATGATAAACAACAACATTCGGTTCTAATTGGTTTTAAAATTTACTGGTTTACAATGTCCATTTAACATCAATAGTTTCACTACTCAATATGATCTATACCCTTGTTCCTGCAAGATATCAGTATATGATATAAGGAAAGTTTTGAGCTGATAATAGTGTTAGACATTTGAAATTTGTTAGCTTAATCGGATACATTCATTTTTACATTTTACAGGTACCAATATACAAAGTCAAAGTATTAGTATTAGTTTCTCTTTTGCTGCATTCCCTCCAAATCTGTTAGTACTTTGAACAACTTGTGTTACTTGAATGGTTGGTGAGGAACTTGCAGAGAGGAGTGTCATCTCTGGGGACAATCCAGATGGAAAGCTTTCTATTTGGTTACATAGCATAAATGAAATTTTTGTGCTATTTTTTTGCCTTCTTTTCTTTTAGCATGAAGCATTGGTGCAGATCATGGGCTAAGAAATCTTGGATGTTAAGTTGCTTGATGAGGTCATCAATTTTCCCATGAAGAAAGGCATTGTTAATGTCCAATTGATGAATTTTCCAGCCTCTGCTCACTGCAATGGATAGAACCGTCCGGATGGT